AAAATAACTAATAAATTAATATTGATAATTATATTTAATAATAACTAAATAATGGAACTAACTATTTTGACATTTAAAAAAAATGTTTTCAGCAAATAGTTACATGCTTGCAATTAGTTGTAATTGGAGCATTTTTTAGTTTGGAGTGCTTTTCTGTCTATTTTAGAAATAGATCACTATTGCCTTTTAAATGCATCAATATGTCAAAATAAGTTGCAAGCGTTGATTTCTGAGCTTTTGCTTCCTTTTATATCAAAGTTTCCAGTAACAAAACAACAGATCCTGAATGCAATGGGATCTTGTAGTGAATTTAGTAGTAGAGCCCTCGAGTTAATTCTTAGAACATTGTAGCATAGGGTGGTTGATAGAGTATCTTTCAGTTGCCTGCTTTGATAGTGAGTTCTGAAAATGGATCCTTCCCTCATGTTTTCAGTGTGCAGTCAACTTTAATAGTCCAGCGAGGTTGCATGCCTTCAGCTGGGGTGAGAACAGTTGTAGGATATGGCTGTGAACAAAGTGGCTGGGTATTGCTGACACCAGGAAACATCTCACACAACAAACAGGACACCTGTTTCAAACATCAGGACAAAAGAACAAATGTCTTTTGCCTGCCAGTCATTTCTGGAGGAGGAGAAGGTGTGATTTGAAGTTGAAGGATGGGACTAGTTGTTGTTTGTTATCATGTCAACCTAGATTTATGACAGGTAAAATTAGCTGGGAGAGTTCTCGCCTCAAAGTCGTTAGTTCAGGTTTCCAGCTATTACATTGTTATGGGATATTACAGTTTTATATTCTGAAGTCTTTCAGTCCTACTAGCTTAAAGATTTGCTAGCATTCTTAAGCCAAACTGGAAAACTTAGAAAACAGTCAAGTGGGGTTATTTGCTTTGAGCTCAACATGTGGGAGCTCTTGCAGGCTTTGTGGGCACTAACACAATCTTCTACAGCGAGTGTAGGCTGTCATGATCCACAAAGAGACAATAGGCTCTGCTATATCTGAATAACTTGCTGTTCTTTTAATTTTATTTCCTTCATCAACATCATTTTTTTTCAGAGAGCTCTGCACTAAACTTTATAGCACGAGCTGGGGCAATTCACAGAGCTGGCAAGAATTTGATCGCTTTTGTGAGTATAATGCAGTTGAAGTTTCCATGTTGACCTGTTTAGCAGATGTACGAGAACCTTGTCAGCTGGGCTGTAGAAATCTTACTTACTGCACTAATTTTAATAACAGGTAGGAGAGAGACACTGAATATTTTATAAAGGAATTCCTGTGTTTTGATTAAAAAAAATAAAATAAAATGTTTTTCAGGCTTATTTTGAGGTTGTGTGTAGCTGTCTTTCTGCAAATATTTTTGTAGATAATTTAAATAGCTTTTCTTTAGAGTAAACTTTTGGAAATGTATTTAAGGATCAGACGTAACAAAACTTACAAGAATGAAAGCTAACCCATGAACCTGTAAAATGTCATCATGTATTAGCAGCATATTCCTCTGTCTTACTATATAGACAAGTAAGCCATGATTACCAGAATGTTGTATGTTACAAATAAGGTGAAAACACTTGTTAAATTTACATGTTACTCTTTCAAAATTCCTTTTCTTTCAGAGATATATCTGTGTTTTTATACTCTCTAGAGCAAAATGCATGATTTAAGTGATGTCTGAATTAGTAATATCAAGGCTACACATTAAATAGAGTTTCAAAAAAGCCTTTAAAATGCTGTTAGCTATTAGAGATCTCTGTCTCTTCTTTGAAATACTGTACAGTGGCATGAGTGTTATGTGAGTAGTAGCATCACATATATGGTAGATGCAGCCTGGGCAAATAGAAATGGTAAATCAACTTGCATTAGTGATTCACCAGGAGACATTTGCACAGATATTCAGGATAATTAAGATATTTGCTTTTAAGTTAACTTTCTTCAGGTAAGAAAAACTTAAGTGATATTTAATCTGAGAGGCAGAGGTGAGAAGGTAGTTTCAGCCCTGAGTCTTAAAGAGCTTATTTTCCTTAAAGACAGAATTCAAATTGATTTTGATCTTGTTTAACTGTGGAAGGGATGAATTTCTTTTATACCACAAAAAGCAAGCCATATCCAGATTGTAGAATTCATATGGTGAAATGTGAAGTGTGGGATGTTTCCTTTTTCTTTTATATATACCATATCTTAACTTTTTCTTTAAAGACCAACAGAACTTTTTAGGAGCTGCAATACCCAGTCAGACCAGGGAGCCATGAATGACATGAAGCTATGGGAAAAAGGGAGTATTAAGATGCCATTTATAAATATTCCTGTACTCGATATTAAAAAATGCCAACCAGAAATGTGGAAGGCAATTGCCTGCTCGCTGCAGATTAAACCTTGCCACAGCAAATCTAGAGGAAGTATTATCTGCAAGTAAGTAATATGGGGGGAAAAAACAGCTTAGAGGTTCTGATAAGGATATTAATGAGAACTAAAAAGCTGCTAGAGGACTGTGTTTGGTCTGTGTTAGGACAACATGGCAAGGCAGACGTTGAAGGAACATGAGCTTGCGTAGTTACCATTGCTTGAATCTCCATCACTGCAAATGGAAGGTGCTTGCCTGTTAATGAGGTGGATGTATATGCTTCCATTGTAAAGTTGATTTATCATTGGGGCTTCTTTGGCTCTCAGTGGTGTCTATAAAACTTTCTTTCCTCTTTTTCGGTTTTGGGACCTACTGGTGATTTTTAGCTGATGGAAAGGCTGAAAAAAATGAAGTTTATTTTTGAAAAAAACAAATCTTTTCAAGTAGGTGATTTGATAGAAAAGAGACTAGTGAATAGTACAGCTAGTGAGATAGAGTTCAACCCCTATTGTACATTACTAAATCAAGGAAATGCTTGATCTTCAAAGATACTTGCATTTAATGCCATAGAAAATAAAGATCACCAAGCTCAAAGTAGAGGAAGAGTAGTGTAAGCAGTAGTTCCTGTCTTTGGGTTACAGATTTGTTCCTCCCCCTGCATGTAAAATGCAGTGTCTGTCTATCTGTATATAAACACTCTGTTGTGAGGCAGAAGGGGAAAGTTGTCCATATGGGGAAGGGGAGAATGTAGAAATTTTTTCCATGCAAGACTTTTTTTTTTTTCTTCAAGTAGTGTTCATGAAGTTCTGTTTCTTTATTTATCTGAAGATCAGATTGTGTGGAAATACTGAAGAAATGTGGAGACCATAATAAATTCCCTGAAGGCCACTCAGCTGAAAGTATTTGTGAGCTCTTATCTCCAACAGATGACTTGGAGAACTGTATCCCTTTGGATACATATCTGAGTAAGTATCAACATACCTATGCAACAAAATTAGAAACCAAGATACTTTGAATGCTTATCATTACTTTTAATGATTTTCATTATTTCTTTTAAAGAAAATTGGTTTGAATTTGAGACATTTTATTTAGCGTACTAGAGTTAATTTTCCCCAAGTCAAGTCAGTTTTACCTGCGATGGGAATTCTTGTGCAATCTCCCTGTCTTTATCTCAGCCCATGAACTTTTCTGTTCCTGTTCTACCTATTTTCTACCCCCATCCCGTTTGGGATGTGGGGACTGGGGCAGAGTTTTGCTATTAGCCAAAGCTAACCCACCACATTTCTCTTTATCATTATTATCTTTATTATTATCATCTAATAATCTGGCTTGTTGAATTTCAGTGGTTTTTACCTACTTGAAAATAGACCAGTAAGAAAACTGTTCTTCAAGAAGTCATCTCACACACCAAAAAAGTACAATAACAATAAAACCACTAAGCACTCTTTATTTACAGGACAAAAGCTGGTTCATGCTTGGGAGGACTGATCTCAAATAAATGTCATTTAAACAATAGCATGATTTAGAGCACCACTTCTTGATGTACAAAATGACACTTTTGCCTCGTGTAAACTCTGTTCTTTAACTGTGCCATTATAACTGAAAACCAAATTAACTCTGGGCAATAGAACGTGAGTTTAGCAGGTATATGGAAGAATGAAGATTTTGTGATTCTGTTTTCTTCTACCATAGAATCATAGAATCATAGAATGGTTTGGATTGGAAGGGACCTCAAAGATCATCCAGTTCCAATCACCCCGCCGTCAGCAGGGACACCCTCCATTAGATCAGGTTGCTCAAAGCCTCATCCAGCCATGTCTTATCCCTCAGTGTGGAATACAATTGTATTAGTAAAATTGAGTCTTGGTTCTAGATTTCATTTAAACGCATCTTTTTATGTTATTTTTCCAAATCTACTCTACCCTGATACTGCTTCCTATTGCATATTTATCTCTGTGGGATTTAGACATTTTTAGCTTTTTAGGATTTGCCCATTTTAGACCTTCTTCCCAATTTTGATTGATTTTTTGATACTTCTTTCTCAGAATCCCAGGAACTTTGAATTCAGAGTACAATTTTGGTTAGTAAGAGCTGTAACTGCAAGTGTGTCTCAACAAATAAATTGTTCCCAGAGGGACAATGTATTGAGGCTTTGGGTGCTTATTTCCATTTAACTGCTGCTTTTCCATTTCGTCTTCCCTTTCCTTACTCTTGTAACAGAGCATTACTAGTGAGTTAAAGGGAAAAAAGAAACAAAATTTTATCAACGATGCAAAACTTGTTTAAACATGAAGTGTACTTTAAACTTCCAATTTGTTAATCATTGGCTGTGGGACTTCTCTTGATTAAACTGACAGTCATTGTCAGTTTGTATTTTTGTCACATAGAGAAAATTATTGTGGAAACAACATAGAGGAAGTGTATTTTTCTTGTGAAGTATCGTCTGGGTCATTATTTCCATGATTGAGGACTAATCTTTTGAAATAAGTTACCTACCTTGTCATGTCAAGCTTCTACAAATATAATTTAAAAAATAAAAAATTCACAGAATTGTCAAAAGTATTATCTTAGTGAATGTAAGAAATGTCATGCTTTACTAAAGAAATATAAACCTCATTTAAATCAATATAGATGCTGTATACTCTGTTTTCAGGTCCAAGTTCTTTAGGTAATATTGTAGAAGATGTTACACATCCATGTAATCCGAATCCTTGTGCAGCCAATCAGTTATGTGAAGTAAATAGAAAAGGATGTCAATCTGGAGAACTGTGTCTTCCATATTTATGTGTGCCAGGTAAGGGCTTTTGGACTTCTGTTTACCTGGATTTTGCTGATAAACATGTGTAACTGAAATTTTGTTGAGAAGGTTTTAAAGTGAACAACTGATATCCCAAAAGAACTATTATCACAATTACCTTAGGGTTTCAAAAGCTGCAGCCTACCTTCTAGCTCTTAGCATTCCTCATTGTGTTTCTGTTTTTATTTTCCACTGAAACATAACATCTTATTAAAAGATACATGACTTATTTTGCTTCAGAAGAAATAAAAGTCCATATATGGTCTCTCAAGCAGCCTGCCTGATAGTTAAAATTACAGGCATGCAATACTGCAAATACGATGCAGCTCGCTGCTCTGCAGACACCGTGACACGTATTGCCCTGTATTTCCATACATTATTAGCCATATTTGCATTATTTTCCTTACTGATGAAATAAATAGACGTTATGTCTTGCCTTGAAATTAGTGAAAATCAGGCTGTCAATCTTGGGAGGACATTTTGAGAGCTCTGAAAATCTGATCAAATGCAGGATGCCCTGGGATGTACATTTGCATTGGCAGCAATTCCGGTGTTATATTTAAGTTCAAGATGGTGTCTCACATGGAATTGTCCCAAATCCTTCTTCATAGGCCAGGTCAACTTCTCAAAAATGTCGCCAGCAGTTTTTTCTGAAGAGCTTCACTGTTGCTGCTTCACTGGATTCAGAGCACCCAGGCTTAGGGCTCGGGAAGGAAGTGACATGGCACATAATTTATTTGCCTCTTTCTTCTCTCCAGTGCTTGAGCTTGCAGCGCTGACGCTGTGTCTCTGCACTTCATCTTTAATGACTGACAGTGCTGTGAGTTCATTGACTGGAGGGAAAAAGCAGAACTGCAAGGCAGATTAGCTCTGTCTCTCTCCCACATCTGTATGCAGGCTTGTAGTTTGGAGGAAAATGACACTGACTTTGGGAAACAACAAAAATATGAATAATAGATCTTGTGCTGCCTTGTCCTGCCATGAGACTCACAGTACCACTTCTTTGCTTAGGGACATGCTTCAGCTGAGGTCTTGTCAGTGTGAGGTTAATGATTGGACTTGATGATCTTAAAGGTCTTTTCTAATTGAGGCAATTCTGGGATTCATTAAAGACAACAGAGATTCATTAAAGTCTGGAGATGCAGCAGTATGCAGCTGAGTGCATTTCTGCTGCTGCTCCATTGAGTGATGCTTTTAATGTAGGTGCACCTCTCTAGAAAGGTATTTGTGGTCATTGGGAGCTGCTTTTTAGGAACACAGGTTTTGTATAACTTCTGCACCATCTGTAAATGTGAGCTGACTGGGGAGAGAGCCTCACGTAGAAAGAGTTTCAGCTATCTAACTTTGAACTAGCAGGCTTGGATGGTGTTGATATCAAGGGTCAACCCAACAAAAGGAGATAGGAGACTGTAGGATGCCCAACTTCTACAGCCCTTTCATTGCTCTACCTTAGACACCAGTAGTGCTTGCCACAATTTTTCCCCTTCTTTTAAAGCAAAAGGTATCAGTCAGTGACATGAGGGGTCACTTGTGGCTCTTGAAGCAAAGAGGAAAGTTTGCATTTAGTGACCACTTGAACACGTGTGTTGAGAGAGACTGAGCAAGTGAATTGTGTGAAGCAGCCTCCGTTCTAGAGAAGTGATGGAGAACATTGCCCTGTCTGTCTCCCATCAGTTCCCTCAGCCTCTCTTGTTTCAGCAGTTCTCTGGCTGATCAGTAATTTCTCTAGTGATTTTTTAACTACAAAGAAGAAAACTGGGTTTTCATTCTGTCGTGTAAGTGCTGCACTTGTGCTCTGCTAAATCATAGAATCAGAGAATGGTTTGGATTGGAAGGGCCCTTAAAGCTCATCCAGTTCCAATCCCCCTGCCATCAGCAGGGACACCTTCCACTAGACCAGGTTGCTCAAAGCCTCATCCAGCCTGGCCTTCAACACTTCCAGGGAGGAGCAGCCACAGCTTCCTTGGGCAACCTGTTCCAGTGTCTGACCACCCTCACAGTGAAGAACTTCTTCCTAATATCTAATCTAAACCTCCCCTCTTTCAGCTTAAACCCATTTCCCCTTGTTTTGTCATTAGTTGTCCTTATGAAAAGTCCCTCCCCAGCTTTCTTGTAGCCCCTTCAGGTACTGGGAGGCCGCTATAAGATCTCTCTGGAGCCTTCTCTTCTCCAGGCTGAACAGCCCCAACTCTTTCAGCCTGTCTTCATAGGAGAGGTGCTCCAGCCCTTGGATCTCCTGGTGGCCCTCCTCAAATATGAGGATAGACTTCAGCTCATTCTTTTTGTGAGCCCAGGGACATTGTTTTGATGATGTTTCTATGACTCTTACAAAATATTTTTATTTTTCTGAAAAGCTGAGCATTGTTACTATGGAGGTTGTATTGTCTTCACTTGCTGCAAAAGTCATTTAAAGTGATCTGAAAACAAGCTCACCTAGAGCTTTTGAAGAGAGAGTTTACTTCATCTAAAGGTTGGAAGGTGACTTTAATGTTTGAATTCAGTCTTTTTATTGATTTAAAGTTTGGGGGGATTTGTTGCAATTCATCACTCCTAGGGTGATTTTAATCTACTATTTCTTTTATTGTTGTTTCCTTGTAATTTTTAAAACAGGTTTTCTTTTTTTCCAGTCTTTTTTAAAATCCACTTTTCCTGCTTTTTCTACCTTTCTTTTCTCTTAATGTCTACCTGTAAGAGTCTTTCAGTGTTCCCAGAAGAGGTACAAGCAGGGAAGGAAGACACAATAAAACACGAGAGAGGGGAAATGACTAGGCTTTGCTTATGAGACCCTTTAATTCAGTTTCTCTGTTGACAAGAGTGAAGCGTATGCGGTGTTTGTTACGTCACACACATTTCACACTACTGCAGAACTGTGGAAAATGCAATTGCTTGAGAACTGCTGGAATGACCAGTCTGTGGTGACATTTCTACAGGAACTTCAGAACATTGTCTGAAGCAAGTTTCTGTTTGTGCTACTTGCTGCCTTTCTGAAATGAGTCAATTTGTCTAAAAGGCAAGAGCAAGGCTGCTTTAGGAGCATTTTGAGCTTTTTCACCAGTTAGAGTGGTAGTTATTTTTGGTAGAGGCACTTGCCAAAATATTTCCTAAATATGAGCTAAAATTTCTCCTTATATATAGGTTGCAAACTGGGAGAAGCCTCAGATTTTATTGTCCGTCAAGGTACGCTGATTCAGGTTCCATCCTCAGCTGGCGACGTTGGTTGTTATAAGATCTGTACCTGCGGACACAGTGGATTACTAGAAAATTGCATGGAAATGCGTTGTGTTGACCTCCAAAAATCATGCATTGTTGGAGGACAAAGAAAAAGTAAGTATTAGAACATCTTTATACAACACCCTGTTCCTTACATAATGAATTTTGAGGTACATACGAAGTCGCAGAGGATCCGAATGCAGTTTATCAGAAAATACAAAAGTTAATGTTTGCATCCCTATATAAAATACTTGTTTAATTCTTATATGATCTGGAGGGTCTCAACCAATGAAATTCCTGTGTAAGGCATGTTTTAGTACACCATTTTTCAACCATCAGTGACTTACCTCCCATCCCGTGTACTTCATGGTACTTGATGACAGGTCACTTCCTTTCTGGTAGAAGAACTTGTTGGTGGGAGTTCTGAGGATTGAGGAAGGAGAAAAGTTGTGAGAGGAGCCAGCAGGCAGCAGGGATGAAGCAGCAACAGCAAAACAAATTGATCTGCTTCAAGCATCTTGGGAGTTCTGAGGTTTAAGCACAGTGTAACTTATTCTAAACGCCTGCCCCTTTCCTGGATTCCAACTTAGCGGGTGCTCTGAGGCTGCTTTTAACAGCCCTGGAATCCAGGGACCACGAGAGGTGTCTGGGGAAGAGCATGAGAAAAGGCAGAGGATTTACTCATACTTTCCATAAATATTCTACCAGAATCTGTTCTGTGCTTCGGACCACAGACCCCCTGAGCAGGGGTGGTTTCTTTACTGGCCCCAAATGGTTTGGGGAGGTTTTGCTTTTGGTTGGTTTTTGTTGGTGGTTTTTTTTTTCCTTCCATGGATTTTAAATATGGCTTTAAAAAAAAAGTCTGAAACTTTTATCATGAGCTATAGCCACTGGCAAGAAGTTCCACATGTTAAGAGCTGTGTGACTAAAAACTCTCCCTTTTTCTGGGGGGGGGGGGGGGGGGGGGGGGGGGGGGAGGAGAGAGTGGTGTTTGCAAGGGATTTCTTTTATTTTGAGTCTTGATAGTTTGTTTCATCTGCTTCCTCTTAGTTCATGAGATTCATCCTAGTTCTTGGGTTGAAAAAGATGATGATTGTTGCCTGATTGCCTCCTCTTTCAGACCTCTGTCATATTCCCCTCAGCTTTCTGGGTTTTTCTCCAAGCCAGTTCCTATTTTATGAATTATTCCTTATATTAAAACAGTTGTATACTTTTGGATCATATTTATGACCCTACTTTGCACTTTTTTCTATTTCTTACATTTTCTTTTGAAATGGCAACAGGAACTTGACGGCCCATTCACAGTCAAGTGCCTATGTAGTAGTAAAATCATGTTCCTTTTATAATTATTCTGAACATTCCCTTTTTTCTCATTATTAATGAAAACAATCACAGAAATGTGTGAAGTTGTATTTGCATTTTATGTTTGCACAGTGTACTGCTGTCACTTGTAACAACAATATGTGTAGCTGGGAGGTATTCAGTATTCCCTAAGTGCTATCCAGTTAAAAAACAAAACAAAACCAACAACCAACCAACCAAACCATCACAAAACCAAAACCAGACAGCTTCCTCTCTTTTGCTATAATTACTCATTAAATGTGTGTGGTGATGAAGACTCCAGGTATTATAGAATAAAAGATAAAAATTACTATATTCCAAATTCGTTAGAGGCTGCATTGAGAAGAAATAATTAAAAATTTCTGGTCACCATATGAACTTTTTGTGGTGACTGTATTTAATTGGGGTATCTGCCAGTTGCAAAAAGCCAGAGTTTAGTCATAAAATCTGAACTGTGGTTTTTAAAACCAAACAACCCTGACTGGTTTATCTGATACTGAGGGGGTTTTGTGTTATGAATTGACTCCAGTTAATGAAAGGACTACTGATGGGGAGGACTCTCTGATAGTGAAAACCAAGGTTCTTGCCAAGTTTTTGAATGGATCCTAAGTCAGTTCCTCTTTAGTCTGTAGAATCACCTAAGAGATCGTGTGTTTGGCATTACCTTCTGCCCTGGTTTTGCTAGGACAGAGTTAATTTTCTTCTTAGTAGCCAGAATAGCTGTGTTTTATAGTTTCAGTGTAAGACTTGTTATGAGAAGAACATTGATAAAGCACTGATGTTATTAGTTGCTGCTGGAGCCCAAGGCCACCGTGTTTGGCTGGTTCACAGCTGCATCAGGACTGGGAGGGAGAAGTGCAGTGAATAGCAAACCCCAAACTGGCATTGGGATGTGCCAGTGAGATATTCCAGATCAGATCACGTCATGGTCAGTGTATTATCCGGGGCTGGCTGGAAAGGGGGGGATTCTCTCTGGCTTTGGCTCGGGCTCTGGCTCTCCCGGGATTGCGGTTTCGGTTCGGGATTGTCGCTCCCCCGGGATCGTTATCTGGGAACGGGCCGGGCTTGGTCAGTGGGTGCTGAGCAGTGGCGCTGGGCATCACTCATTTGTATATTTTATTACTGTTATCACTATCACTACTATTTTAATATTAGAGGGGTTTTTTAATTTTTATTTCTATTATTAAACTGTTCTTATCTCACCCTCCAAGCCTCCTTGTCCTTGCCCCCCAATCCTCTCCCCTATCCCCTGGGGGTGGGGGGGCAGTGGGTGAACAGCTGGGTTGGCTGCTATCCAAGAGCTAGCCCAGTGAAACTATCACACCTTCAAACCTTGGAAACTTTTCTTCTCTGCTGACAAATTCCTTCTTCCTTGAGTAGTGTACTGTGGTTTACACAGAGCTTTCGGTGCTACGGAGGCTTTATCTCCCATCCCCTCTTGTTCTGCCATCATTTGTGTAGGAGTACCTCTTCAAATTGCTCAAATGCTGAGGATTTTCCTTCTGACCCTGTAATGTTTTTCAGAAATTCTAATCCTTACTCTCAACCCTTTTAAATGAGATTAGAGAGGATTGCATTATTTTGTAAGGCGCAGTTTTCCTGAAGAGCAGTGTATTTGTCTTTAATAACTGATGTAGTTACGGATAGATGGGCTGTCACCAGCATGAATTGATTCTACATAAAACATACACCACAGTGAAGGGCAGTCATATGGACAGTTCACAAACCAAACTGGAATTGCTAAATTGAAGAAAAAAATCCCTACATTTGCAGTTTGATGGATGTTGCAAAACAATAGAGAGTAGAATGAAGCGTTGGCACTTTTTGCCTCTTGACAAAAAGTACAGACAAAGGAAAGAAATGAGCTACAGAGGAGGTTTGCGTTGTGTGTGAGACTCTGGCTGAAGGTTTAGCATCTTCTGTAAAATTAATTTAGAAGAATCTATCTTTACAAAAGCTTTACCTTTTACCTGTGGAGCCTGAGAGCCAGTATTTATAGATGAACTGTGTACTATGCTACCACTTCTTCTGTTTTCTGAGTGTATTTCTTTTTGCAGCTTTAAATTGTTCTTAAAGAAAAAAGAAACCTAGCTTTGAAAGGATAAAGTGCTTACTTCCTTGTTTAACTGATTAATCAAAAACACGTGTGAACAGACTTACTCTTTAAATGGATAAAGCAGAACTTGAAATCTAAAAACATAGATAGAAATTTCAGTGGGAAAACACACTGAATAAGGGAAATTACAGGAACAATTAGTAATGAAAATGTAGTGTCTTTGCAATACATATGAGTATGTGGACTTCTGTTATATTTGCATTAATTGTATGCATTTATTTAATTTATTTTATTTTAAGGCCATGGCACATCCTTTAATATCGATTGTAACGTCTGTTCATGTTTTTCTGGAAACCTGATATGTTCTACTCGCCAGTGTCTAACTGAGCATAGTTCAGAAGATGAACGTCGGAAGTTTACAGGTAACTTTCCAAACTATGGAAACTGAAAGCTTAGTGTTCTTAGACTGAGGATTAGCTTCTGAATTCTTTCTACAGTATTAATGGAAAATACCTGATAATTTGTTATTAATATGTTCTTTTAACTATTTATTTTTCTCATGTCCAGAAAAAACACATACCTTAAAAAAAAATATCAGTACTGAAAAAGAAAAACTGAGGTAATATGTAAAAATAGGTGGAGACAGGGTAATGCCACTGGGGACAAAAGATAAGGAGTTTGGGGGAAAAATGGAGAAAGCTGAGTAGAATCAGCAAGGAGGCAGGGCACAAACTTCCCTTCCTACTACTTGCAAGTGCCTGCGTGCTACAGCACGGCTAACTTCCAGCAGGGAAGAAGTGACTGCAGATAGGGTAGGGAGGCTGAGATATCTTAGTGACCCCTCATGTGTCATCTGTCATAGAAGAGCAGCGTGCCCCAAATTCCTGCTTTGCCTGTTGCTTTTCCAGGTTTACCTTGTAACTGCGTAGATCAGTTTGTACCAGTGTGTGGTCAAAACGGACGGACGTATCCAAGCGCGTGCATAGCTCGTTGTGTTGGGCTCCAGGATAATCAATTTGAATTTGGATCGTGCATTTCCAAGGATCCTTGTAACCCTAACCCCTGTAATAAAAACCAGAGGTAAAAGCAGAATCTGTTTTTTAAGCTTTTCTTCAGCACCTTCTACTCGTAAAGCAAATCTACTTTTTCTTTGTGTTTTATATTGTAGTAACATTCTACTTTGGGGATACTCCAATAAAAAGAACTGCTTGAAGTAGCTACTTTTTAATTATCTTAGTAATGGACTGTAATAACTGCCAATTCTTGGTTAGGTATTGTTTAAATTCATTATGCAGATCTCATTTTTAGCAAGAAAAGAGAATTGATGTTTACGTTCAAAAGCGGGAGAATCAAATTTTGTTGAAATGGCTATAAGTGCCCTTTTACTACTTTTTCACACCTTCTTCTAGTAGTTAAAAAAACAAAAAAAAACCCCAAAACCAAAACCCACACCTGAATTCAAGACTTGAAGTCAGTCTTGCTTATTCAATCAGTAATCTGTGCTTTTTCTTTCTAAAATAGGAAAATACCGATCATTGTGGAACACTTGAGTTTCTCTTGATTAGATTGATGTCTTGTGGAAAATATGTCAGTACAATCTGTTTTTTCAATGTCAGAAAAAGCAAAATCTATAGAGGCAAACAAAACAAAAACATACTCTGCACTAGTGTCAGGCAAGAAGAAAATCTGACCGTTCTTACAGAAATCAAAGTCTGTGGCTCATAATATTGGTCTCTGTGTTCAATTTTCCCCGTGTTGTGCAATACTGCAGTCTCCTTTGAATTTGTGCATTTTTCTGGTTTGAAAGAAAACCACCAGAAGAAGTTGTGTAATACTGTGCTTTCATGAAACCTGATTGTAGTAATTTATTTCTTTTTTTTCCTTTTTCTGCACTTTAAATGCCTTGATGCAGAAAACTGCAGAGAAAACAGTTGTTTTGTAGCTATAATAGCCATTATGGGATTGAAAACTGGAATTTCAAAGCTTCATTGTGGATATACACTTTCTACCTTTTATATTTTTGATTTGGCAAGTATAGAGAGGTTTTTCAGTTTTACAGAATAACCATCATGCTTGGAACCTCAGCTTGTAGTTTCAGGAAAGGAACTGTACACAAGACATTTTTCTGGGTCAGTTTGATAACGTAGCGTCAACTAAACACGCTCATTTTAAAACGCCCCTGAAGCGCCTAGAATCTGTTGAAGAGCTTACATTCCACTTGTAAAATGTTTAAATCTTGGAATTTCTTTAAATCTTAAAGAATTTAAATCTTAAAGCCTTCTTTGGTAGAAAAGGAAAATGTGTAATGCATAGGAGAGGAAGAGATTGTTAAAAAAGCCATTTGACCTTTGATCGGTCTGCGCATCGGACTCTGTTGGCTGGAATTTCTCTCGCAGAGGCAAGTCTTGCAGGGCATATGGCAAATGTTTTGTGGATAAGGCCGTGGAAGGGCACGTATTTAATATAAAGGGGAAGAATT